ATAGGTATAAAATAAAATAAATCACGACGTTTCGGGCGCAACACAAGCGTTCGTCGTCAGGTGGGAAAGCATGGTCTGCTGCGGAGGCAGACTGTTTTAAAAGGCTTGAAATGGGTGGAGCTCAAGGGTCATAAAGAAGTGGCCAGGGCTAGTGATGTTAATGTGAGAAATTACCATGCAACTGTAAGATAGGAGAGCGGCCTCCTCGACGAGGGCACTGTATCACAACCTTCTTAACACAACCTCTGGCTGTGTGGCTTGTCAGTTTGTTATCTTTTACTTAAATGCAAAGTAATCCTCCACTCACCTAGCAAAGATATAGTTTTCTCGATTTGATTATTTATTTTGTTCACCGGGGGTAGGGCCCATTTCAAGAGTGCACATTTTCAAATATTGAAAAAACCCACTACTACTTCAAACTCGGAAACAACCATTTAGGTATTACTGATCAGTGAATCAAAATACGCATCTTCAAGTCTAGTTAATACTTTACAACTAGAATTATAGCTTCTGGCTGGCATTTGAATAAATGATTAACCACATACCATACCTTAAATGTAAGCGAAATCCGGTTTTGGCTCAGCATACATGTCCTAATAACCATATAAATTTAACATGGATCATTTGTTCTGTGACCATGCAGACACAAACAGGCCCATACACCGCCTCTTGTGAAATAATCACAAGTGCATGTTCTGCTTGCCATAGCAGCAATAATGGGATTTTTAAAAGGTCCAGTGTAACGTCGTAAAACTAGTTAATAATACGCAACATATGCAATGATTGGGAGTATTCTATAAGGAAAATGTATTTTCTGCAGGAGACAAAATATAAGAATGTATTCGGTACTGTATTGTAGTTAATTTAACACCAATAAACTACTATTTTTTTTCTTGTACCAGGTAAGGCCCACTGAGCTATATAGCTCCTTTTCAGAAGCGACCTGGCAACAAATGATAGCTCAACAGTGACAATTTATAGCAGCCAAATACTCTAAACCCAGGTTTCTAAACGTGGAGGGAAAAACCGGAGAAATATGCACGCGGCCACGGGGAGAACGTGCAAACTCCAAATATACAGGCGTCAGAGTTAGGATTGAACCCATAACCTCCTACATACCAGGCGAGATAGTTAACATCTCACCACCACAGCGCAAGTGGTAGCGCAGTGATGTTGGTACTGTTATCCAACCAGCAAGCCAAGTTCGATTACTGGCCTAAGTTAACACAAGTGGTGAGTGATATCTGAATCGGTCATCGCAAGCCAGCTTCAACAACCCACACCGACCAGCATCAAGTATGGTCACACAACTGTCTCATGATCAACGTGGTGTGGGAAGGCCTTTATCCAGACGTGTTCTGCCAAAGGGCTTAAAATTATAAACACCAATACTCCATAGGTGCACAGAACCAAAGTGTATGCACATGCCAGGCCCACAGCCAAGTTGCTTCAACATGAATAAGACAATGGATTGCTTGAGGATATTTAAAATAAGTTCATGTTCAGAAATAATTGTACGACAATGACATGCTGATACACAAAAGAGTGTGTGGGCTCACCTGCCAGCAACCCAAAGCCACACTGTCCCTGTATTGGTATCAGAAAGAAACCAATAATTAAGGTAATTCAGAAAAATAGTGTAACGTTAATATTGTAATAATAAGTTACAATTCACCTGCAGAAGACTTTTGTGCCAGGGTGTTTAAAGGCGTGTATTAATAATGCAGTAACATACATTCTAACAAGACCAAATTATCAGAAACGTGCCAGATATCCTTAAAAGGTGGGAGGCTGAAGTTGAGAAACACTATACTCTTTGGCTCTTTCGGTAAAGTCACGTAGATAGAAAATTAATAGATCACGACATTTTGATCGCAACACAAGCGACCGTCTTCAGGTGAGAGAGAGAAAGCTACTAAAACAAGGTCTTAGATAGGCCTGAGATGGGTGCAGCCTCAGGGCAAGAGGTCGGGGCTAGAGATGGTCTCACTGAGGCTGTGGAAGTGGCTGTTGTATTGAGAGATTATCCTGTCAATGCACGAGCTTAGTATGTCGCAGCATCGGTGACTGAGCGAGAAGGACATCCAGCCAGTCAATACAAATACATCCAACCTAATAATGCAACTCAGAGTCGGCTAAAATCGCAGGAAGGATGGAGATATCACAGCAGGTTAAGACTTTACCTGGTTAATCACGTCCTTCCAATGATTTCTCAATTTGTACCATCTCAGGCCAATATAAGACCTTGTTTCAGTAGCTTTCTCTCTCTCACCTAAAGACGGTCGCAAGTATTGTGGTTAATGCAGACACGATTCCTTGTAAAAGGTGTGTTTTTTTTGTTGCCAGAAAAAAGGGGTAAAAGCCTATTCTCATCTTAACACCTGTTTTGTTGCCAGGAAAAAGGGGGAAAACCTATTCTCATATTTTGGTACTGGCAAAGGAGGTCCCATGATGTAATTTCTCCATTGTTCTGCTAATAGCCTCCACGTGGTCTTCCGCGATAAGTATCCAGAATAATCGATACCAAGTATGTATCTTGAACTTCTTTCGCACCTCAAAGGTGGACAGAATGCTCAGCCCTCTCAGTGGGAACAGTAAACACAACGCTTTCAAGAAGACATTTCTTCATGGCTTAACAAAAGGCCAATAACATGGGCCAGGTAGCATTACGTGTGCCATCTCAAGAAATGGTGATGGTTACCTATTTACACCTCCTCCTCCTTGAGCCCTTAACTCCAAGCAGGTATCCCTTGCAAATAAACTTTCGATCTCAATTGGGCCCTGAAATAATTATAGAGCACATTCAGTCAAGATCCGTGACATAGCTCACATGCCGGCGACATAATAATATAATGATTTAGGTGGCAGGGGCGTAGAAGGCTTGAGGAATGAGTGAACTCGATAGAGGGATCATGAAAGGGTAAGGGAGGGACGGGAAGAAGTGGAGGGGTGAGGGGAGGTAAGAGAATGGGACAATAGAGAAGAGAGGTGAGCTTTAAACTATTTATTTTTTGCCAGGTAAGGCCCACTGAGCTAGATAGCTGTTTTTCAGAAGCGGCTTATCACGTGAAAATGTATAGCAGCCAAATACTCCAAATGCATGTTTATAAATGTGGAGGGAAAACCCGAAGGACCCAATGGAAATGCGCGCGAACACAGGGAGAGAGACACGCAAACTCCAAATGTACAGGCGTCAGGGTCGGGATCGAGCCCACGACCAGGATCTTGTATACCAGGCGAGGTCGATAACATTTCGCCACCGTGGCACCCCAGATGACGAGAGGGGACATGTGCCTGAGTCGTAGCCCTGCCTGAGTCGTAGCCATGCCTGAGTCGTAGCCCTGCCTGAGTCGTAGCCATGCCTGAGTCGTAGCCCTGCCTGAGTCGTAGCCCTGCCTGAGTCGTAGCCCTGTCTGGTCGTAGCCCTGCCTGAGTCGTAGCCCTGCCTGAGTCGTAGCCCTGCCTGAGTCGTAGCCCTGCCTGGTCGTAGCCATGCCTGAGTCGTAGCCCTGTCTGGTCGTAGCCCTGCCTGAGTCGTAGCCCTGTCTGGTCGTAGCCCTGCCTGAGTCGTAGCCCTGCCTGAGTCGTAGCCCTGCCTGAGTCGTAGTCCTGCCTGAGTCGTAGCCCTGTCTGGTCGTAGCCATGCCTGAGTCGTAGCCCTGTCTGGTCGTAGCCCTGCCTGAGTCGTAGCCCTGCCTGAGTCGTAGCCCTGCCTGAGTCGTAGCCCTGTCTGGTCGTAGCCCTGCCTGAGTCGTAGCCCTGCCTGAGTCGTAGCCCTGTCTGGTCGTAGCCCTGCCTGAGTCGTAGCCCTGCCTGAGTCGTAGCCCTGCCTGAGTCGTAGCCCTGCCTGAGTCGTAGCCCTGCCTGAGTCGTAGCCCTGCCTGAGTCGTAGCCCTGCCTGAGTCGTAGCCCTGTCTGGTCGTAGCCCTGCCTGAGTCGTAGCCCTGTCTGGTCGTAGCCCTGCCTGGTCGTAGCCCTGCCCGAGTCGTAGCCCTGCCTGAGTCGTAGCCCTGTCTGGTCGTAGCCCTGCCTGAGTCGTAGTCCTGCCAAATCGATGAATGGGGCTGGACGCTCATCACCACCGGCGTTCCATGAGCAAACGGTGGGAATTCCACATTTGCCATTGTGGGGGTCACTCTTCACACCACACTTTCATACCACAGGACACAATCAAATGCAGTGGTCGTATAACACAGTACAGTACTGGAATGTAGTGCTCATGTTGACGGTTATAACACTGTATTGTTATGAATGTATCCACTATGGCTAGTCTGTGTATGGCCCTGTACAGTGGTGTGGCGGTGATAGTGGCTAACAAAAGTACTGCAGTACTGTACTGTCTAAACACACCTTGGTACAGGACAGTGGGGGTAACGTTGAGGTGTATCGTGGTAAATGATTGTAATTTAGCACAGTAACACGGTGGTTTATCGGTGGCAATGTACGGCGTGACAGTAAAGCTGTCGGGCGTCGTCAATATCTGCATAATCTTCAAGTTGTTAAGCACTGTGCGACTTGATTTCGGAATTCACAGTGGCGATAATCAATGATGCCGTCAACATCGCCACGTTCTGTTGAGTAACCGTACGTACACAGTGGAACTTCGTATTGATCAACGAGGGGAGAGGCCGAAACGATATCGCAGCAGTTCGATCCCGGGTCCAATTCGCCAATAAGTTGAACAGCAACAACAACAACAGCAGCAGCCTCTGTGTGTGACCATGGTGTTGTTATTGGGGGGGTGATGTTGTTATTGGGGGGGGGGGTGCGGTAGTGCAGTAGCAAGCGCGCTGCGCTACGAACCCGGCTCTGGGCCTCCCCTAGGTCGACTCAGCCTCGAGTGAGTGCCTGGTGCGTTGTCAAGGGTTGAAAGGAGGAGGGTGATGATGGTGGTGATGGTGGTGACGGTGGTGACGGTGGTGGCGGTGATGGTGGTGATGGTGGTGATGATGGCGATGATGGTGATTGGGACGTGTGGGATGTGGAGAAGGGGAGCTCACCCGCCAGAGCGCGTCGCTTCTGCAGGCTGAAGAAGGCGTTGTGGCGCTCCGTGCTCCATAGGGCGCTGCCTGTCGACGCTTCCTCGGGTCGCGTCCACATGGCATGAAGAGAGAGAGAGGCCGGCCTCCTCCTCCTCCCCACCGTCTTCCTTCTCTGCCTCGCGTGAAGAAGACAACTTCACCCTCCACACTCGAGGCGTCGTTTAAACTCGAGAAGACCAGCAGCCCTCTGCCGCCACTGTTGTTGTTGTGGCTGCTGTTGTTGTTGTTGGGGCTGATGCTGCTGTTCTTGTTGTTGTTGTGGCTGCTTCTGTTGTTGTTGTTGTGGCTGCTTCTGTTGTTGTTGTTGGAGCTGCTGCTGCTACTCGCGATATCCGCCGTTTCCCCTCCGCACATGCCGCGTCACGTGACCGCCGCGCGACGCTTTACGGCCGCGCGCGGTTGGTGTCGTAAAGGCCACGTGGGGGGCGAGGGGCCCAATGCCCATGGCACTTCCACGTGTGCCTCCTTGTGTCGCAATGAGTTACACGAATCCGTAATACGGGGTTTTTTTGTTTCTTTACATCGCGTAAATATAAACATTTGTTGTTGAACCCGCCACCACCCGTGTGCTGTGCTCGTCACGAATTGGCACGTTCTGCTTACGCGACAAACCTGACGAACTTGGCTGTCGGGTGGTGGCGGGGTTAACGACACATACTCTTTGGTTCTTTCGGTAAAGTCACGTAGGTATAAAATAAAATACTTACGTGACTTTACCGAAAGAACCAAAGAGTATGGATTCCTGCAGCCACGAAAAGCTTCAAATCAAGATTTAACGACATATTTACATATTTATTCGATCTACCCCAAGAAAACTTGTAATGTGGATGATATTGGTCGCGAAAGCCTACGCGTTAAACAGAATGACATGAAACTAAAACTACACTTGTTTTTCTTTACCAGGTTAAAGCCCCCGCTCAGCTATGTAGTTCTGTTTTCAGAAGCGACAAGCGATCACAAACGATAGCTTAACGAAATGGCTTATCAATGTGGAAGTGTATAACAAGCCAAATACTGCAAACCCGTGTTGGTTCTAAATGTGGAAGGGAAAAACCCGGGGAACCCGGAGAAAAAAATCACGCGACCACGGGGAGAGAGATAAGCAAACTCCAAATAAACAGGCGTCAGGGTCGATCCCACCACCTCCCGCATACCAGGCGAGGTAGTTAACATCTCGCCGTGACCCTTTTTACACGCTTTCATTGAACTCACTCTGTTGTATCCTCAAATCTTGTAACTCAATTTTAACCCACTTCCCAATGTGGTATCGACTGCAAACTTGGTAAACTTATGTCATACTGATGACAATACTATATTATATCATTAAAAATAAAATTGTATATGTTTAAACATTCTTTTTTACATGTTATGTTTCGGCTTGGGTCTAATTGTCCACGCTCAACTGACGTTGGCTGTAAATGACCACGGCCCCTTACGTTATGGCAAGCTTCGGAGCCACTTCCTGGAGTCGTGGAGTTCTACCATTACGTGTACGGTACTTTTCATTAAAGCGTGTTTTGAAAAAAGATTTTAAAAATATTACTTATTTAGAACGTGTTTGGTTTGCATGTTTTGCCACAGGTACGTGTGGTTAATGCATACTTGTTGCCTTGCAAAAGGTATAGATTTGGTGTTTGAACACCTTAACACCTGTTTTATTGCCAGAACAGGTAAAAACATACTTTTATTGTTTCATAATTTTGATACTGCAATAATAGGTCCCATAGAATGACATGTGTTTCTCATACGTAAGATTCCTGCGCGTTTGTTTAATTTTCACAAATATATTGCAAATATCCATTTAACATATATGGCAATGCATGCTTAATTATTGCCAATATGTTTTAATATTTCTAATACATTGGTGAAAATTAAACACACGTTAAGGAATCGAACGTATAGCAATACATGTCATGCCACAGTCCCGCGTGTTGTAAGCGCAGGGTTTCTCAACCCATGTACCGCCACGGTATTTTCAGAATTAAAGCAAAGATATGACCTTTCTGACCCGCCCCTACTGAACATCTGTGAAAAAGAGCTTCATAACTCATCGAATTCCTCCAGTCTAAAGAAAGATTGTGATTATGAACCTGTTTGCAAGCTAGGCTAAAGATGAACTATCCGTGCCATTCGATGGCCGATCCTCTAAACAACTCCCGCATTCCATCTATATTGGTTGTGGATGCGCAGCACGGCAGGAGACACCCCGGTCCTCTGCAGTCCCTCGGTCGCGCGTGCCCAGTTGGGAAAGCGGTGTTTTCCTTAAATACTGAGCAAGCTTGAGAGTGGAATTTAAAAGGTTGACAAACCCTGTGGAGGTGTCTATGATAAAATCACCAGGTAGCCCTCATAAGCAAATAAAACAAGGATTTGCACTTACAGTACTACATAGGGTGTCTTGTTTAAATACCTCAGCAACTCAAAGCGTATTACGTCTCATCTCAACCATTTCAATGCCCTGTTGCAGTCTAGCCAAATGGGGTACCCAAAAACAGCTGTCCCTGTGCGACACAATGTGTAGTGAGTCCAGCTGAGTCGCAGACGTTGTCTTGGGAGCAACACGTTGTATTAAACTCTTAGCACAACATACTCCAAGCTATTGACACAACATAGTCTCGGGTGGTGACCACCCAACTAACCACTCTACGGCGGAACTAGACACGGTTCCACTATCCCGGTCCGGACCACAAGCTGGGTCCCGGACCGCGTGGCTGGAGGCTTCTTCAAGCTTGACGTGGTTCTCTTGCCTCTCCAACAGGAAGAACCCCGAGCCCCTCTCAGGGACCCCCTTATATCGGGCCGGGCTGGGGCTGGCTCCGCCTCTTGCCCCGCCCACCTTCTCGATCTCTCTTGCCCTTGTCCGAAGGCTCTCGAGAGTTCTTCTCGGACCATGTGACCACCCTCCACCGGTGGCCCCTCTCCAGTATCATCCGGTCACATGTCCCCAGGTCAGCCAGAGTATCATGCCCCCAATGTAACCGTAGATGGTTGACACTCTCTCGCTCTCTCAATGGGAGCCTGCACCGCACGCTGTGCGTGGTGCCACCGCGCTTAACCAGCGCTCACCCAAGCCCCCACTAGGGCTGGTAGTACACCCCATGTCCGGGGTGTATACACAACAGGAAATATCCTGCCGTAGCCTCTTCGGCCCGGCACCACACAGTGACATTCCCAGTCACTACAAATGTATATGAAGAACCGGCCGTGAAAAACTAAGTTAGCTACCATGGTGTAATATGTAATGGTGAGCACATCGGGCTTGCAGTCCAGAGGCCATGGGTTCGATTCAATCTTTATTTGAAATGGAGTAAGATTATCTCTGTCCATCAATTAGAACAGTCTGTTCTGCTATAACACGGTAGTTCAGTTCCTGAAGAACACCGTGTTATGTAAAAATCGCGTGATAATATATGGTAAAGCACGGTCCGCGATAACACCTGAGATGCTTATGCAGGCTGAACAAAGACTGAGGCGCGTGGATAGCATCTAGAAGCATCTAGCAGCATCCCGTCTTGTGTGATGCTACGCCGAGGCAGCCGTACAACCGCTTATTCCTACTCGCGCGACGTAGTTTCGTTTACTCAATCGCGTTATATCCAATTTGCGTTATGAAAACAACACGCGTTGTAGGAGCATTGAGTGTACTGTCGTGTGTTGTCGCCATCGGTAATTGTGCATAACTCTCAGTAAATAAAGAAACCCATAGAAGACACACTCGAACACGTGCTTGTTACTTTCTGGTTTCATTTGGGGTGTTACCAACCGTTAATACAAAATAAAGAAAAAGCTTGTGGAAATACAAAAATATTTTTTATCACAATAGCCACTCATTCTAAGTGCAGCACAATCTCTGCTAACACCAACTCTACCAAGTGAATGGTTTTTCACAAATGCCGTTAAATCAGCTCAGACATCCTGAATCTTCTGGGATACGAATGCCTGCACGCACGCTGTATATATTTATTTATATCGATCAGCTTCTGATTTTTCGACCGATCGGCGTGTGATTAAGGGGCCGTCCATAAATGACGTCACGCGATTTTGGACAATTTTTGACCCCCCCCCCCCCCTCGTCATACGGCGTGACAAAAAGTCAGACTCCCCATCAAATATGACGTCACAAAGCTCTGCCCCCCCCAAATAAAACATGCTTCAAATCGCTTTAAACTATTTCCATTGTAGTGCGTATTTAATGTGGCTCTGCTCTCTGATGTTGTAGGAGAAAACGTTTATGAAAAAGTATATTTAATTAGGTAGAACGTGTTGTCTATATTTATTTAAAGTTGCGCATTTTTATGTGACGTCACATTTCTCAAATTCCCCCCTCGTCACACATCGTCACAAATGTCTGACCCCCCCCCCAGGTGCGTGACGTCATTCGTCATCCCCCGTGCAATGCTCATTGCTGCCCGTACTCACTGCAGCTTTGATTCTCTCGCCCAGTCGGCAATTTCTCCAATGTGGGCCACGACAGTACAGTGTGGTCCAGATGTCTTGTGACCGTCAATTATTTGACCCCTAACATTGTTTCCGTTTCATAGAAATGTATGTTTGAAATAAACCTTATTTTAAAAAATATATTAAGTTTTAGATAATTAAATGGGGGTCACAAGACATCTGGACCAACGTGTACAGTATAAATTGGTGCACCAGTTGGTCGATTGTCAGATCGCGTGTGGTGGGGTGAAGTGTGGGTACGCCCACCTTAAGGCACCTGGTAAAGTCACATCTAATAGACAGTCTTTGCCTATTAATATCTGGAGTTTCGGCAGCATTGGTTAAATTTCACCAGCATTGCCGATACACTGAATATTCTTTGGGTCTTTCGTTAAAGCCATGTAGATAAAATAAAATAAATATCAGATTCGTAGCGCAGCGCGACGCTCACCGCTACACCACCGCTCCCCAGTCCTGGATCAACCCATCAGCATCCACGACCACCCCACCCACACCACCAGCTCCCACGACCACCCCATCCACATCACCAGCACCCGCGACCACCACCACCCACAACCACCCACCCACACCACCAGCTCCCACCACCACCCCACCCACACCATCAGCACCCACGACCACCCACCCACACCACCAGCCCCCCCGACCACCCCACCCACCAACCCCACCAGCCCCACGACCACCCACCCACACCACCAGCACCCACAACCACCCCACCCACCCCACCAGCCCCCCCGACCACCCCACCCACACCACCAGCCCCCCCGACCACCCCACCCACCCCACCAGCCCCCACGACCACCCCACCCACCCCACCAGCCCCCCCGACCACCCCACCCACACCACCAGCCCCCCCCGACCACCCCACCCACACCACCAGCCCCCCCGACCACCCCACCCAGACCACCCCCCCCCGACCACCCCACCCACCCCACCAGCCCCCACGACCACCCCACCCACCCCACCAGCCCCCCCGACCACCCCACCCACACCACCCCACCCCGACCACCCCACCCACACCACCAGCCCCCCCGACCACCCCATCCACACCACCAGCCCCCCCGACCACCCCACCCACACCACCAGCCCCCCCGACCACCCCACCCACACCACCAGCCCCCCCGACCACCCCACCCACACCACCAGCCCCCCCGACCACCCCACCCAGACCACCAGCCCCCCCGACCACCCCACCCAGACCACCCCCCTCAGACCACCCCACTCAGACCACCCCACTCACACCACCAGCACTCACAACCACCCCACCCACACCCACACCACCAGCACTCACAACCACCCCACTCACAACCACCCCACCCACACCCACACCACCAGCACTCACAACCACCCCCACCCACCCCACCAGCACCCACGACCACCCCAAAACCCACGTGCACCCACCCCAAACCCACGTGTCCTTTCAACGCGCAATCCTGACGAACTCTCGCTCGAAGTCTCGCGAGAGCGCGTCGGGGGGGGCGTGGCCGAGCGTGACCCGGCGCTCTCGCGCGGGCGGTTTGCGGCCTTCGCCTCCACGACCAGCGCCACAGGCCGCCGTAGCCGCTTCGCTCACCTGCCCCCTCCCTCCCCGGCGTCGTTTCGCCCTCTACCTGGGGAGGAGGAGGAGGGTGCCGCCGCTAAACCGGCCATGACTCTCTCTGCCAAGGAGCTGAGCGCCCTCATCGAGCTCGTGTCGGAGGAGGCGAGCGCCAAGATGTCTCTGGAGTCGCTCTCCGCCGCGCTGGCCCACAGCGTCCCGCGAGCGCAGGTGAGGAGTCGTTTGCGTCGGTTACCCTCCCGATGGATTGCGTTTGTTTGACGGTGGTGGCGAGTGTTGTGGGGTGGGGGTGGTGTTGTTCATTGTGGTTGCGTACGGCAGTTGTTGATGGTGAGCGAGGCGGAGTGTTCATTGCAAGGCCCGCGGGCCACTGCGTGGCATTTCGTGAGGGCCACTGAGTGGCATTTCGTGAGGGCCACTGAGTGGCATTTCGTGAGGGCCACTGAGTGGCATTTCGTGAGGGCCACTGTGTGGCATTTCGTGAGGGCCACTGAGTGGCATTTCGTGAGGGCCACTGAGTGGCATTTCGTGAGGGCCACTGTGTGGCATTTCGTGAGGGCCACTGAGTGGCATTTCGTGAGGGCCACTGTGTGGCATTTCGTGAGGGCCACTGAGTGGCATTTCGTGAGGGCCACTGAGTGGCATTTCGTGAGGGCCACTGTGTGGCATTTCGTGAGGGCCACTGAGTGGCATTTCGTGAGGGCCACTGTGTGGCATTTCGTGAGGGCCACTGAGTGGCATTTCGTGAGGGCCACTGCGTGGCATTTCGTGAGGGCCACTGAGTGGCATTTCGTGAGGGCCACTGCGTGGCATTTCGTGAGGGCCACTGAGTGGCATTTCGTGAGGGCCACTGCGTGGCATTTCGTGAGGGCCACTGAGTGGGATTTCGTGAGGGCCCCCCGACAATACACAGCCCTCGCAGGCGCTGGTGGTGGCGGCCCCTCGCACCAACGACGATGTTCTTCTTCATAGCCGTCAACCCCCCCCCCAAGGTTTACCGCGTGTTCTTGTACGCGAATTTTTTAGGTCCATACGGCGTATAGGCGTTGCAATGCGGGCAACAAACAGCATCCGTGGTTTCTCCCCGTGAGATGTGACTTTGTAGGATGGACGTTGAGATTTATATGAGCACGGGGTGATCGATAAGGTTTGACATGGGTCTGTAAAAAGGTAGGAGGCCCTGATAAGGGGTTGACATGTTTGTGTCTTGTCGGCAAAAGTGGATCTCTCCCCCACCCCCCTCTGAGAAATAGTGAAGAACACTGGGATTAGATTATACACTGGTCAACAAAAAAAACATTTTTTTCTGGCTTGGACTTTTGCAGCTGTTTTAGACTAATTTCAGGGTGCTGATTCCAAATCTGATCTCAGATTTACTCTATCACATCTCATTTTTATGCTGTCGGTATACCCCATTTTCATTGATTTTACCAGAAATTAACTCTGTCACTTATGATTGCAAGTTGTTGCGAGTCAGTGACTGCTTTAGTGTTAAAATATGGTGCTGTATTTTTAGGATAGTGTTTACAATATCATTTTATGTAGATATCCACATTTATTTAATATTTTTTCTTCTGCAGTTTTTATTGAAAATGCAATATTTGATATCTCAAAAACCTGATGTGATAGACAAAAACTGATGCCAGATTTGGAATCAGCACCCCAAAATTACCTTATAACCGTTGGAATACCTTATGCCAGAAAAAGTGTGTTGACCAGTGTTATGGATTAGTTTAGTTTGACTTGCTGTGGTGGTGGTGAGTTGGTAGGGGATTCATTGTGGTTCTTGCGATGATTGCTGGATATGGCAGTGATGTGTAAACGGTTGTAGATATAAATTAGGCTTCGTCACGATTCGGTATATTCCACGTGCGTACAGCAAGATTCGATTAATCGTTCTAGAATTGAAGATTTCGTGACTGCAAGAATCCATACTCTTTGGTTTTATTCGGTAAAGTCACGTAGGTAAAAAATAAAATCAAAATGAAAACAACTAAATTAAATCACGACGTTTCGGGCACAATACAAGCATCCGTCATCAGGTGTGTTTGTCCCCAGAGAGTGTTTTGTCTGCTCTGTCCCGCCTGCATTCTCTCTCGTCTCGTTCGTGCCGTCTCATTATTGCTGACTCCCGTTTGGCATGAGGAACAAAAATCCATGCAATTGGCAACATTTTTGAAAATAATTTATTCCCAGACACGAATAGACATGCACTCCGTGAGTGTTACGTATCGCACTGTGCGTAGGAAACAGTGCTCATCAGAGGTTGCGGGGGAACCACAACAGTTAAATTTCGATTTAAAGCTTTCGTGACTGCAGGGATCCATCTTCTTGGTTCTTTCGGTAAAGTCACGTAGAAGGGAAGTAATAAAATAATAAAAATAAAACATAATAAAATAAAATAATATAATAAAATAATATTTTATTTTATTATGTTTTATTTTTATTATTTTATTACTTTCCTTCTACGTGACTTTACCGAAAGAACCAAGAAGATGAACCACAACAGATTAAAGACAAAAATGAGTTATAAAGAAATTAGTTTTAAATCTAGATTTAAAAGTGCATAACTCCAGTGGCTTCCTAATATCGGAAGGTAGAGCGTTCCAGACGGCCGCAGAAACGCATTTGAAAGTGCACGATGCAGTTACGTGTCTGGCATGTTTTACAGCTCTTTGCTGGTGCTCAGTCTCCACTCATCCCTGTCCTGGGTCATGTCCACGGTCCACTCCACAGTTCTTGCTATCCTCGTTCACCAGTCACTGTCAATCCGCCTCGCTCTCAGCCTGCCCCTCTATTCCCACCCTGGTGCTTCCATGTGCATCACGGTTCTTTTTTCGATGCGATTGTCTTCTCTTCTTCCCACATGGTTTATCCACCCGAGTCAACTTCTAGTACCGCCAACTCGGGGCTTCAAATTCCATCGCTGATCCGATTGCGTGATCTACAACCGCTCTCCTGCCGCAGTTCTAATGTATTCTAATCGCCGAATCTTTTGGCATCTCCCGCAGGTGTTTCGTGCCGGGGCGGCGCTGCTGGCATTGCTACAGCAGCCGGACCTTCTGCCCGGTGCCCCGCAGCGTCTTGCCGCTCTCTACCTCCTTTGGGAGATGTACCGCACCGAACCGCCCGCCGCAAGCCCCTTCGCCGCCGTCTTCGCGCACCTCCTCGACCCGGCGTCTCCCTCGCCCGCCGCTTCGGCGGTGGCACCAGCTGGAGGTGCAGCAATATCAGTAGCAGGGTCGTCCACAGCTGCTGCTGCTGTTGGGAGGGCAGGAGCTGCTGCCACTACTGCTGCAGTTGCACCGGCAGCAGGAGGAGCAGCGTCAACTGCCACTGCTGCGGCCGGGAGGGCAGGAACTGCTGCCACTACAGGTGCAGCTGCAGCAGGAACAGCAGCAGCGGCAGCAGCAGCGGCAACAGCAGGGATGGCACCCGGAGCAGCATGCGCGTGGTGCTAGGTGTTGGTGGTGCTGCTGCTATGCATGGTTTTTAGTTCATGTATTTTAGTATACAGAAAATACTTGTATTGCAGTAAAGATTGCGCCTAATTTCAGTCGGGTTTGTTCAGGTCGATAACCAGGAAAAACATTCTGTACACCACATTAAATATACATCTCTGTGACTAGCTACTAGTTACTGGCCTTCAGCCTACCAATGACTTGTAAAATAGTAATTGAAATGAAAATGTGGAAATTATTCCACTACTTTTATGCCAAGAGTGGAGATGAGCGCTTCGCCCTACTCGGATCATGGATTGTTGAATATTATCAACCTCTTTTTCTTCATCTCTCCTCACCCACGTGATGAATATTGAATTAGAATGTGGAGTGTGTACTGGTTATGAATCTTGTAATGTTGAGCATGGTCTCCCCCCACCCCGCCTGAAACTGTTGGACAGAGTGCCTCACAGACCCATTGTACGCAGTTGGCAGCAGACATTTAACAATTATTCAGTTTGTTGACTAAAATAAATCCTTAGCTAATGCAGCAGGCATCAATTACCACAGTATAAACTAGTTGGTACAGATGCTGCATAACATTGTAGACAGCACCAACAAGCCTATATATATAGGACCATATTTTGACGGTATCAGAAAATGCTGTTATCAAAAACATGGTCCCGTAAATTTAAGTGCTCAACCGGATCTGTTGATGCTTTCATCTTTGCATTGCCTTTGTGCTGTTCCTTTTGGCGTTCTCTGGTCTAGCACGGATGAGACAAGGCCATAAAGGAGTATCTCTGGTGTAGGCCATTCGATTTCAAGGACAATGCATATATAATTATCAGAGCATGTTTGTGCGCATGCATTAACCACCACATGTGGTTAATGCATGCTTGATGCCTTGCAATAGGTATCTATTTGGTGTTTGAAAGCCTATTATTTTTCAAGACAATATTAGACAAACAAGACACTACAAACGACCCATACAATCAGCAATGCAGATTGTACATCGGAACACTCTATACGAGTTAGTAGAACCAAGAAAAAAATTTGATTCTTGAATTCTAACCCAGGCTATTGTGTTATTCATATTTAGGCACTTTACCCCCTGTGTTTTATATCTTATAATCTGATGTATGCAAGACCACATTTGTATAACTTTATTTACACTGGGAAAAAAACTTTTAAGAGCATATTACTTTCCAGAGCATAACAGTACCATGACATTTTATGAAATCACGGGGAAGTGAATCATTATATGTCTGTGGAGAGCAGTGTTATGTAAACTTGCAAGTAAATGGCTGAAGCCATACACGTGTTGTGAGTGGAGCTGATGTGTGGTTGTAATACAGTCGTGATTCCATTGTCCTTTTGGTCCCCCTTATGTTGTGCAGCCTTCAAGAGCCCTCTTCTCTAACCTGTAATCATGTACAGCCCAGTTCTGAGCCCCTAAATGACAACACAACAATGGGATTTCGTGATATTTTGTGAATAACTGACTGGTATTCTATTTATAGTAGCTTAGCAATGAATTTTTTTACATGGGAATCCACTAGATAAAAATATCAAATAATTGTATTCCCTTTTTGAGATTCTTAGCAAAGAGGTTTTGCAAGAATGCAAGCAGTGTACGCCGAGACGTTTTAATTTTTGATGATTGGGTATACATTCTGTACGTTAAAATATTCTGGAAAAATCCTGTTTTTCATGCACAACATGAAAGCTGTGGCTCTGACAAAACATGCCCTTATTTTTTTGTGCAAAGCATGAAACGTGCTTTCGTTTCGCATTACACCCATGCAACTTGAACATTTCTCGCAATTTTTCTGAATATGAAAGGACTCTTGAACGCCTTCCCCATGAGCCTCTTGATCTCAGGCAGGAGCATTTTTATTTCATACGATTAATCTTTTGAGCTAAACTATGGTAATATGTTATATTTATTTATGAAATAATCCGTCACTATATAAGCTAAAACATGGTAAACTCTGTTAATGACATACAATGACTCCACAGGCCTTGAATTTGGTGGATACTACCAAAACTTCAACTCTTTCAACCATGGGAAGTACCAAAACTTTGTGTGCTTTTATCCAGAAAGGCCCCATCACTTTGTTAGGCTGCTTTTAGTACACATACCTCCGATTAGCATGGTTGGCTACGTACAGTGCAAAAGAAGTTCAACATACATGCTTTACTTCTAAAAAAGTCTCAACCACAGTCTGAATGGATTAATACTTAGGTTGTAACAGGAATTGTTCAGCCAAATAACACTATAATTAGAACACGAACTTAAAATTGTAAGTTTGTGAATTTTAACATTGGTTGTCAACTCAGGCTATCATTATTTCATAGTTGATAAAAAAAATGTACTAATTCGTGATCAGTCACAAAAGGTCATTCCATATAGAGACTGGCCCCTTGCCATGGGAATGTGATTTCACTAATGTCTCCAGGTCACCAATGTAAATGAGTTCTTCCACCTCATGAGAACACCTGAGGCTCAGAGCCAGACGAAGGGACCAAGGGCATGTCACTTGTGTTATGGTCAAATAGGATTCCACACTTAAGACGTATGAAAAGGGAACCAGAGTGCCTGGGTGAAACTCACACAAACAAGTTGACCACTTTTTAGCCTGGCTCCAAATCTAAAACACCACTTAAATTCAGTAACAATTCAATGAAAAGCATTTATTGCCTTCTTAGCAACCGAGAAGCCGAGGCTACTCAGATCCTAAACTTCTATCTCATGCTCAAAGCCATCAGTGTGCGTCTTCCAGCATGCGTGTGTAACACGCCTGTCCTGTGTGCCCGGCCTGTGCGTAGGCTTCCTGCCGCCCATCACCGGTGCCGAGAAGTTCTTCCTGTCTCATCTGATGCTGGCACCGCCTCGAGAGCTCTTCAAGAAGACCCCGCGCCAGATCTGTGCCACCGACATGTCCACGGTGCCCTTGCAGCCTGTGGACATCAGTGGGCTGCAGTTGGCACTCGCAGGTGTGTATGCGAGCCAGTGATACCCTGCGCCATGTTACGAGAGCTTTGTACTGTGAATTGCACACGGAGAGCCATGCAACTGATATTGTACATTGAGCCCTCTTTGAAAACATAAATGATATACTGAGCACTCTACCATGAATTACTCACCGAGCATTCACTGTCCCCGTCTTAAATAAGTACTGAGATTGGTTTGTGTGTTCAACTTCTTTTGCACCGTACGTAGCTAACCTTGCTCATCGGAGGTGGTGAGTGAGAATCGGTATTGGGGAGACGTGTGGGTGTTTCTGGCCACACCTTTCCTTTGTTTGCCCTGCCAGCCTTAATCCTTACTCTGCCCTTACAAACATGTTACATGCCTAGGGTTTTTTACCACGAGAATTACAGTCTTTGTGATATAAAATAGTTTTAACAGGTTGAGAGTGAGCTTGTCTCGTGCAATAAAATTGTGGAGTGCATTGTTTTATTTGGTCGCACGGTCAATGTCGTGCGTGGGTGGTTGTGGCTCTTCTTGGGGTGTCCCATGCCACTTCACGGCATCGAGAGGCGTACGGTTTCTCTTTCAGAGCGCCAGTCCGAGTTACCGACCCAGAGCAAAGCGGGGATCCCTGCCATCCTGGCTGACGCGGATCCTGACTCCGGCTCGGGGCCTGACAGCACCGTCGCCGCACAGGTGGCAGAGGCGCTGCTCACCGGGACTCACCCGCCCATCGACAGTATGTCTCCCAGCCAGCGCTCCGACATGACTGGCAAATTACACGACAGCCAACCCACAAAGAGCAGGAGTGGCCAAACTGCCTGATTCTTAAAAACCTCATACCAAGATGGAGGAGCCATGAAATAAAATCTTCATGTTGTCAGCGGTCGCAAGACGAACATTTAACTTGCAGTGGTCACGTGGTCAGTTCAATCACCCTGGTTGGCTGTGGAATTTTTATTTGAGAAATCTGCAGATGTGTCCCAAGAGTTCTCATGTTTGGCTTCACTGCCAATGGGCGAGTGTCCCGGGCTGCTCCCATTTTCCCGTTTCAGATAAAGTTACGTTGAAAATTTGAAAATTAAGCGGCGTCTCTAAATGAGCATCACTTGAACTGTTGAGGAGCTACATGAGCTTAACGAGTGGCATGCCACCCCTGTACTGTAGCATTGCCTCCTGGTGGGCATTACAAAGAGGTAAATGTTTCTCCCTGCTCGAATGGACATCTTTGAATAAAAGCTTTCTAGCTCAGTATAAATAAATATTCAGATTCTGAATGAACATTGTGGCAGCTATTATCGCCACTGGGGATCCTGAACCAGTGATGGAAATGTATATACACAGCATGGAGGCCCTACATGCATCCACACTTTTTAACTCTACGGATAATGTGGATACGGGTTTCCCTCGTTATTCGCGAGGGATGTGTTTCCGAAGATACTCGTGAATCGCACATTTTGTGGATAATGATTTTGGCCTACGAAAATGAATTACCTGAAAACATGAATTGCTTTAACTACATAAATAAGCTATTGAATACATGGCAATTATAACATCACCTAATCTCATCACTTTATCTCACTACTTTCTCTCTCGATGCAGTCGTGTAGAGTTCCAGATGTGATTTTCGGATGATAAAAATCGTAGATAGCAAGTTCGTGAAGAACGAGGGAATACTGTATCCACAGGACAAGCTATTTGGATTTTTGGGCAGTGTCATCCTTCAAGCACCACCTGCTCATTTGCCGCACCTCCGATTAGCACGGTTTGCTACGTACGGTGAGAAAAAGTTATACATACATTGCCAAACGGTGCCACTGTGGCCTCCAGGTCACCTGCGCCCAGAGTTCATCCGCCCGGTGCCACCGCTGCACGTGTGCGAGGACGAGCCGGCCTGGATTAACCCCACGGAGCCGGAGCACAGCGTGCGCTGGGACCGCTCCATGTGTGTGCAGAGCAGCGCCGGCCTGGAGATCAAGAGGCTCATGGGCAAGGCGTTTAAGAGCCCACTCACCGTGCACCAGCAAAAGCAGGTGAGAGGTTTTGTTCTGCGTTGCGGCCGTGCTCATACAAATTAAATCGCAGATCATCAGAAATGGAAAAACGCACAGTAAAATAAATACAATTTTTATTGAAATTACTATTTTTAATGCAATGTGGTAGATAAATTTTAATCAAGTATAGATCAAAACATTTATATTCATGTTGTCCAAGAATATCTTTAGCCATAAAGCTCACTTTTGAGTAACATTTTGCAATATTACTTGGAGATTGAGGTATGCCTTAGGCGGTAGGGGGGTGCTGGAAATAATAATTCGCTAAACATTCATTGTGATTACTTTGTAAACACTGGAATTCAAACCTCCCGCCAATTCCTAAGTCGAACTTCTCGTTGCCGCAAGGTGGACACTGGCAATTGGACATCTGTGAAAAAGAGCTTCATAGCTAATCGGATTCCTCCAGTAGGAATAAATATTCTGACGATTCAGAACTGACAGAAGCCTGTGTTGCCCTGTGTCCATGCAGGTGCTGAACGAGCTGGAGAAGGACCCCAAGCTCGTGTACCACATCGGGCTGACGCCCAGCAAGCTGCCAGACCTGGTGGAGAACAACCCCCTCGTGGCCATAGAGATGCTGCTCAAGCTTATGCAGTCAAGCCAAATCACCGAGTACTTCTCCGTGCTCGTCAACATGGAGATGTCCCTGCACTCCATGGAGGTCGTCAACAGGTAGGGGAGGGGGAGGACTTCACTTTCGGGCGCTGGCTGGCGTGCCAGACTCGTCGGAAGGCCATTCACCAATGTGGAGTTGGTGAAATGAGCACCGTTTTGTTCGGAGTCAAGCGCGTTTGTCACCAACAGAGTCTAGCCCAGGGGTTGGCAATCAAAATAACAAGAAGAGCCATTTTTTTCTTCCAATTTGGTAAAAAAAAATCTATTTTGAGAGGCGCAAAGCAGTTCTTAAAGAGCCGCATGTTGCTGACCCCCCCCTGGTCTAGCCCCTTCCAAGGGAATGTGGATTTTTCACCTCTGGACAGGCCTGCCAATCTAAGATGAGCACTTTGGTGGAATGAAAATATCTTTTCAGCGATGAAAAATGTGCAGTCTCTGCTCTTCTTTTAAGCCGGTTCTGTCATTTATGTTTTACATTTTCCTGTATTAATGATACCTTGACAAACCTTGTTCTTGCTTTTTCCAAACTAATTGCGATTATGTCCTTAGAATAAAATGTGTTATTGCGCATTCCGAAGCGGCTATATTGTATAAGTTTTAGCTCCAACGACAACTTTGTTATTTTTTTAATCAAATTTGAAGCAGATTTATTAACCAATCTTTAGTAAATCAACATTTCATACATTTATTGTGTGTGTTTATGTGAATGCATGTTCAGGCTAACAACTGCAGTGGACCTTCCTCCAGAATTCATTCACCTGTACATCTCAAACTGCATCTCCACCTGTGAAAACATCAAGGATAAGTACATGCAGGTGAGTCGTGGGCTAAACAGGCCAGCCCAGTAAATCAGGTGACATGCACGTTGCACTGATCACCATTGCACCTGTCCTCCAAAGCAAACACCCACGTGCAGAAACCACATTGTACATTTGTTGCTTGTAAATTTGCTTGTAAATTTTCTTGTAAATTGCTAGGAATGTGGGGCTCATGGGCATGGGCAGGCAAGCCGGGTGTTATAAACAAAGCCCGCAAAGGTTCCCACTGTATAATGTCCTCATCCAAAGGAAGCCGCATACAAATACCCTTCACAGTTGGACTCCAGCTGTGGATGTTACCCGGCTCATGTGCATGTGTAGAGGTACCTGTGATTGGGTTTAAGAAACAATGGTCAAACGTAGCTACATATAAACACAGTGCACAGTTGGACTCCACTTGTGGAATGTTACCTGGCTCATGCACATGCTTAGAGGTGGAAATGATGGTGACTTTAAAGTTAGGCCCCTCCGTGCAACAGTGGCCGTGCTCGTCTGCTCGCGTGCAGAACCGGCTGGTGCGGCTCGTGTGCGTCTTCCTGCAATCGCTCATCCGCAACAAGATCATCAATGTGCAGGACCTGTTCATCGAAGTGCAGGCCTTCTGCATCGAATTCAGCCGAATCCGCGAGGCGGCCGGCCTCTTCCGGCTCCTCAAGACGCTCGAGTGCAACGAGGGTCCGTCCGACGGCAAGACGGGCAAGTAGCCGAGGGGTGCTCATGGGCGCCGAGCGTCCCTCAAAGAGCATCCTCAGCCGAGCAAACCTCGCCATGTTCTCCTCCTCGATGGACCCTGCAGATCTCAATTTTTGCCTCGTTGATGTGGAAAAATAAGGGTGGAATAAAAAACAAACCACGTTGTGGAAACGTTTAATTTTTTCAACAAACCCTGTTAAGAAGTCCGATTGAAACTGACGTTTAGCCTCCTCCGTGACAACTCTGCTTATGACACACCGATCTTTGTGAATTTTGTGGCAGTGCCAAGCGATGAATGTGCAGTGGTCACATTGTGATTAAAAGGGTCTTATTTGGCCTGTCAGAGGCTAAATGAAGAACAGGCTGCTAGACTCATAGGCTGGTATCCAGTGTAATGTAAGTGCACAGGACTGAGCTACTCCCTTTTGACACGTGTACTTTTTCATACAAACAAATAACTTTTTTCTATCGTGTATTGGATAACCATTGTGTGCGGAAGAAAAGGTTGGCCTTCACAATGTTAAAGAATTGCAATCATCTGTCAAGTGTGACCCACGACTGTTAACGTTACCCTAGCCATCGTAGCAAGTTGATGCTTACAAAATTAGGTGTGACATCCTGCAGTCAGTTGAGGGTTAAAACGAGCATTTCCCATACGTTTGTGGCTATAATACCACTGCATGCTGGGTGGAGGTTTGCTGTAGTTAAGCTGCACAATGTCCATTGTTGTTTCTTCTCGAAGGCCAAGTGTAGCAATCAGTATCTTGGCTCACGGGTGATTGTCAGTTGCGTTGTGATTGTAGGTTTAACTTTGTCATTCCAAATGCTACAGAAATGTTCTGACCATGACCTCTTCTCCATTGCCCATTCCTTTCTCTTGCCCCTCCACTCCTTCCTGTCCCCTGCCATTTCATGACCCCAATGTGCCCCAATTACGGTCGCTCACTCCTAGACTCTTGCATGCCACTCCCCTACTAAATCACCATTTTTGTTAACAGTTTTAAACTATGTAAAGCAACTTTAGCTAAAGCACTCCATAAATGTAACATAATACTGGTAGGAACCTCCTGGTTACACCAGCCCACAGGGGATTATTGTGTCCGCCGTGCAGGGAGGGGCTGGGTGGGGAGGGGCTGGTCACCCCGTAGTGCCCTGATAAAACTCAACGTTTAACCTATTCACGCCAGCTTGTGCCTGCCCTCACAGTCGGGCATATTTGCAGAATACACCACGCCGCCGTTGACCCTGGCCATTGACCGAGCAACCCAACGTTCCTACCAGCTCTCTCCGCAGGAATGTGTTAAGATATTTTTTTTAAAATCCCTTTTCACCAGGCCAACTATTGTTGCATGGGAAAGCTGAACACCGGGAAGAATGGTGGCTGGGTGTTTGCGAAAATGTGTAAAATCGATTAGAAATTATGGGGCCCCTAATCCCACGAGCAGCAACTCCGGTGCCCACTCAGCCACCACCACACGCTCCCCCAGTTCCCCACTAACACGCTTATGTTGCTTCCAGCTCCGCTTGACAGTATTAGCCTGTGCGCAGATATTGCATTATCCTTTAAATCAATAACACCTCGTGTACTCTAAACAGGCTGTTCATTCAATATTAATGTGGAAAAATACAAAATTAATTCCTCCTTCCCGCACTATTTATCACTTTGCCATGAATGTACCTGTAATTTTCTTACATCGTCTAGATACCAGTGATAAAACATGTTTCCTTTCATCCTTAAAGCACACTCAAAAGATAATACTCAATATCGAGTACATTAGTGCTTAACTCCTGGCTCTATTTGACTATGGTAAATGATCACAGTCAAAATTCAACATCTTAATGCTGAAACCGCTTGGTAGCCATGAGCCAGTGATGTAAACTTTGCTTACTGCAGTATTGTTCTCACATCGCAGTGCAATTCACTCCGAAGTTCTCAATCGGTGACTGGGCAGCTTTTACTCAATGTATGCAAATCATTTTAACCTCCCACACTAATCCCCACACTACTGTACCAACTACACTGGCTCCTTGTCTACTTTTGTTTGAATTTCTCACTCGTCTAAAAATGTTGACATGGTCTTGCTCCAACTTATCTTGCTCGTCTCGTATCTTGCCGCCCTGCGCCCAATTTCGCTTTCGTTCCTTTTTCCCTTGCTCCTCCTCACTGGAACAAACTTCTGCTGCACATCAATCGGCGTCACTAACCTGCTTCCTTTCCTCCATTAAACCCCATCTCTTCTTTCTAGCCCATCCTGCCGATCACCAACTACAAGGCCTACCCCAACCTCTAACCCCCTCCCGCCTGTTTGCCCACCTTTCACCATAACTACAGCATCACTTTTAATAACCCTCCATCTCAATGACGATCTTGCATACAATTTTAGAATTGCTGTAAAGCCTATACAAGACAAGAAATCGATAAAAGCACAGTCGCGAACGTGGAGCTCTTCAGAATGGGCGCCTGATAGGAGGTCGCGGTTGTAGTATTTGGCTCTCGGTTGCTATCTCGTCCCATGAAGCGGTGCACTCTTTTTGTAAATTGTGAAGAGTATCTTTAGCTGTGCACGTGTGTGTCCTCAAGAGAACGTGGACGAAAATAACACATTTTGTTTTACGTTCAATCTGAAGCCATTTGGAGGATCGCTTTCTCTGATACATTTTTTTTTTTTTCAAATAAAATTTCAAGTTTTGTCTTGGAGAGTGAACCATAAGTGTTCGGTTGCCCGATTGACAGCATTACATCGATCACTACCACTGGAAGCACTGTATTTGTTTCAAGGCAAACCCTTCGACCATTGACTCCGCAGAAGCATTATGGCCTGTGAAACCAATGATGCCGGATAGCCCAGTGTTATGACAAGAGCTATGATAAACGTAATTCGACTCGGTGAAGTCAAAACTACGGTAGTCGTGGGGTTTGCATTTTGTAATGAATGTTACTGGGGGATAAGAATGATGTGGAAAGCCTGCTGGACAATTTAGTACACGTTTTTTTTAAGCAGTCAAACAGACCCCACCCTGCCTTCAGTGATGCGTTTATCACAAATTGCCAGAGCAGTACATAATTACTTTTACAGGTAAAAATCCTTTGTGAGAGCAAAAAGTGAAGATAGCAAAATAAAATCAATCTGCATTGCATGCAGTGTTTTTAAAGCTGGCAAGGCACTGTTAAACCGGAGGATATTCTCGGCGCTTCATTGATGCTCGCTGCAAGATCCATGCCAGAGTTCATTAAGTAGCGAGACCATTTGTCTACTAATGGAATGGACTCGCGAGGTTTCGGAGGAACTGCAACGATGCAAGAACTGGATGGACATGTCAATTGCATTGATCAGCTTGTAAACATTCGCTGTTAGATTTCGATGTAAAGCTTTCGTGACTGCAGGGATTCATCTTCTTGGTTCTTTCGAAAGAACAATGAAGATTCGCTGTTAGGGTTTGGGCAGAATTCACGTGGATCTCTCCGCTTTGTGCAGTCGCTGTACCCGCTGTATCTCCCCCCCCCCCCCCCCCCCCCCCGTTGAGCAGCCTGGAGCGAGAGGGAAACGCCACCATATGAGCGGTCACAAGAGGGCTCGCGGTACAAAATTGAAGCGTGTGAAATGTTTGTATTTTTATTTATGCTTTCTAGCTGATGTGCTTCGATAGGTGCAGCTCATTTTCAGTGTTTGCCATGGGACCGTCACTCTTAATTGTTTTGGGCGAAAAATCTGTTTCAGCCAATGTTCGGATGAATTTCCATTATAATTTTTTCACGAGGTGGTTTTCCCCCCCTCTCACTAAAAATAGACAAACGTTATGAGCAGCACATGAGTCTGGCTTCATGCGAGCTCATGCACTGGGTAAATGTGCTACTGTAATTGAAGTTACATTTCCTTAGCGTTTAACAATGCCTTGCTCATTGTGTTAACGAGTTTTAACCATGAAATCATGCAGTCATGCAAAGTTAAGAAGGTTGTGCTGAGCTGAACACCCGGGTGTTCCAGGTGCTTGTGTGGATATGGGAAATGTTTACAGAGGTTCACAACTGCACGGCGATCACGCAAAATCAAGGACGCTTATATCTTTCAGGTGGCTGTGCTCTGCTGCAAGGGACACGAGAAAACAAACCACCGCTGACTTGCCCCCCACTTTAAGCCGAATGATATTCGGGGAGGAGGGGGGGGGGGTAGTTTGGGGTGAGCTGAACGGTGGACGCGATGGCAACACGGATAAATCGGGATGTGTGAACCGGAGCTGTTGGCCGCGAAGGATCCACAATTTCGTTGCCAAGGATTCTCTTTGAGCAGACTGCTGCCGAGACGGGAAACTAGAATCGGTTCTCAACTTGTGAGAAAAGCAACACGACACCCGCGACTCGTATTTTTTTGCTCAATTATTTTACTTTTATTTATAACTTGCCGCGAAGAAAAAAACCGGCGGCAAGGTGAGATCTTTGACAATCACCCATATATACACAATCGGTGTGCTTCATTGTAGATATATACAGTACATTGGTTAAAGCAATTTCATACAGTTACTGAGGGATTGCAACATCACTTCCAATCTGAGAAAGGATCAATGCTTGTATACAAGTGCATTTGAGGGAGGAGATTACATTTGAACGGAAGAGACTCGTGTAAGAGAGGTACTCGAGAAAATGAATGCATCATACTCTTACCGAGAGGTTGATCCAACATTCGGGGGGAGCTCTGTATAAATCCCGTGTCTCGTACGCATTACCAGATTTAGTTTTACTTTTTATAAATGCCACAGATCAGCGTTAGGTCCTTCATCACTGCAATAACACAGTGACGCGTTGAAGCTCAATGCCCGCAGGGTTATGACCAGAGGTGGGACAAAGTCATTGTTATGCAAGTCCAAGTCGAGTCTGAAGTCATCAAATTCATGACTCGAGTCTGACTCGAGTCCAAGTCACATGACTCGAGTCCACACCTCAGAGGTGGGACAAAGTCATTGTTATGCAAGTCCAAGTCGAGTCTGAAGTCATCAAATTCATGACTCGAGTCTGACTCGAGTCCAAGTCACATGACTCGAGTCCACACCTCTGGTTATGACAGAGAGAAAGCCACGTGGTGTTTTGTGTTGGTTGAGATGCAAGCGATCGCGTTTGCCGTGGCGTAGACACGCACGCCAACAACGAACGGGCTCATCGCATCGGCGGCATTGCCCCACGTCGTACAACAGAAATGTATTTGATAATAAACGACGACAGCCCTTTTTAAATCATTTATATTAAGTTCACTTGCTTGCTTGCGCGCTTACAACCGTGCAAATCTTTCGGTCGTTTTTAACCCACTTCCCGGGATCCAATCGAGCCTGACATTTTGCACACAGACTCGTTGTGCGTGACAATGTATTTTCGTGAAAAAAAATTTCCCAAAATTTTACACTTTAGGAAAAAATAAATTATATTTAATTACCAATTGCTTAATGGTGCCAGCCATTCATCTGACCCATAGGTGGCAGCCATCTCAAGCCAGAGGACGAGAGGACTCTAGCCGCCACGCATATAAAGGATTTATAGTGAAAAACTTTGTTTTTACGGGTTAATTTTTGTCAGTCCACTGCCGGACGAAGGCCTCCAACAAGGCGTGGCAGGGATGCGAATTGTTTGACCGTACTTTATGCTGGTTAGTGCGGATTTGGTGTGGGGGAGTTCAAAGAACTAGTTCAGATATCGCTCGCCACTGATTTTTTTGTTGTTGCTGTGGCTGGGAATCGAACTGGTGTGCTAGCCAGTGCCTGTCTGCCACTCCGAAACGGGGAAATGTAAGGCGAATAATGCTTTGGACAATGCCGGATTTTTTTTTCAGAGCACACGAGGCATGCGAGATTCTGATCCAACCTCGCCAAATTCCAGTGAGATTTATTTATAAACCCCCAACTAATGCTAAGAATACAAGTGATTAGAAACTTTCCTTACATTGAGAGTTAAAACACCCTGTTATACTCGAGTATCAATGCACCGAAGCAACACTTTTTTTTTTACAGAAAATTGCAACATGACTTGAAATTAATGACAATGCGGGGACATTAAACAACGTCAAATTTTGGAAACGGCCGATTATGTTGGCGGTCCTGAACAATTGGTTGAAGTTGCACAATCCTGTGCGAAGGAGAGTCCAGTTTGACAGTTAAAAATCACTAACGTCCCAAAAAGTGGTGCCTAAATGCCAACTACTGTCAATGGTGACTGTGCAGAGGCGTTTTCTGTGTTGCTCACCAAAGCCACTTGTAGGACTCAAATCCCTCCGCTATCCCACTCTTCAACTCAAGCTGCTCTGGGGCCGGAGTGGCCAGGGATATTTTTCCCACTGCGTTACCCAAGCCGTGCCGCCAAACGCCACACGCATTGCTAGGCGTGTTATGACGATTATTAATCCCATCCCTCTGGCCCTGCTTGACCCCGAGCCAGAGCCAGATGTCTGGCGAGTGGATTGATCGCCTCTGACAGTCGTGAGGGCGCCACGCTGGTTGCAGCTCCTACGTGGCTGTAGGGAAGGGGTAAACACGAGGGCAGTGAGACTAAAAGAGGCTCCAAGCAGCAATCTTTAAGTTTTGGGGGCCAAGCAGCCTCGGTGCGCCATATCGAGAATCCAAGCGGTGAGACACCGCATATGGCTTCTTCGCTGCACTCCAGTCCAAAACTTGTGGGGCAATTGCCGCTCTCCCTCAATGTTTACACGCCCATGGCAAGTTGACATAACTGGTGACATAACTGGCGACATTTGGGCGAATTACGCACAGAACCATCTGCTGCCTTCCATGCCTCGGTCGTTATGAAACCCATCCAAAGTGCCGAGTGTGAAATAATGGCCCGGGCTGTGGCGCTGGTCGTCTGCTTCAATAGTCTCCCCCGGCGATTCGTCAAAGTCAGGCAGACAGCCTATTGAGGTGAATGATCGTGCTTTTATGTGACCGGAACAAGGTGGCACTGTTTAGCGGATTGAATGCATTCGCAATGGTATAAATCCCAATTAGGGGTCACTTCAGCCCATCACTCGAATAAGTGCAGGTTGAAACCTTGCAATTACTGCCACTGCTCACATAAGGGCCGCCACTAGAGGGACCTCCAGGTGATATTTTGGCCTACTCATTCACGCTGTCCAGATGCCTTCGAAAGTGGGAGCACCCTCACTTTACCGCACAAAATACGACCTGACGATCGACGGTGGTGCACCTTTCCACTAGGTGGACAGAGGCGGGGGGAGGATTTAAGGAACAAGGCCATTGTTTCTCCTGCCGTGCCAGAAGATCTAACCGGCAACCTCTCCCACCATTCCTTGTTGGGTTTATAAAATGAGCAGTCATGTGGGAAATCAACAGTGGCCGTCTTGTGGAGAGACTGGCCACTTCCATGGGAATGTAGATAGTCCACTGCTCACTCAGAGCTGCCAATGGAGGTGATTGCCACTCCACTCGCTCATCTCCCGAGACGGCGTGATGGGAGTGTGGCGCTGCTGCTCCCAAATGTTATCTGCGTTTGTACAAGAGATCCATGCATTGAAGCTCTTGGGTTCATCAACAGTGCTGTGCAAACTCTTCCACTCAGTGGAAATGCAACTGGAAACTAAATGACCGACACAATTGGAAGGTTGTGAAAACTGAAGTATTCAGACCGGTGGACAAGATCCATATGAAATACAACTGCGTTGGATTGTGTGGTTGTGCCGTGTAGTTCTGCGATGTGTTTTTTTTTATATCTGAAACTGAAGAAGTTCCCGGCACACGTTGTGAAACGTCAGACATCATGATGGAAAACACGCTGTACAACCCGGGAACACGTCGGACAGCTAGATATGAAAACCACAATCGAGGCATTGCCTTCTGGAGTTGTCATTTTGAGACACAAAGCACTGGAAAGAACGCCGTGCTCAGTAACCGTTATGTAAGTGTGTACACAGCAAAGTGGAAACGTGTGCACCATTTGTTGAAAAAAGAACAACAGATAAGGGACAACATGATTTTTTGTTACAATACCGGAGGGTTCTGCGGATGCCGATGGATTGATTTTTGTCTGCTGATTTACAGAGCACATCCTCAGCGAGGGGTAAAGCAACACGAGAGTTCATGCTGCATAGCAAACAGCACAATGGACACGATTTGAAGTAATCCTACATTATTACACATCGTCTAGATACAGTACTGTATTTCGTATGGAAAGAGCCACAGGAGAAAAATATATAGAGAGAGAGAGAAGACTGATCTTCATTCATAAAGCGTTTTGTAATTTACACCATCACCAGTATGTAACCGCATTGGTAAATGCTGTCTCAAAAATATAATACATATTCATATTTAACCCCAATGATTCAAGAACCACAATGCACCTTGATCAATATTAAAAAAAGAAATACAGCAAGCCACTGACATCTGTGTGTGTATATCCTTAGAGACTTGAGCAAATATGGAGCGGTGGGGGGAGCGTACCAGCTTTTGTTGCGATAGTACCGAAACAGCCGGTACATTTTCGAGATCCACGTGCAGACCCGATGGGAGATCTCAATAGAACACTCACCCCCCTCCCCCCCCACTGGAGGGGTCTGTACCTCGCAGCAACTCTCCCCATTTGGCATCTGGGTGCAACTCACATTCATTGCACCAGGGGATAACGGTCTGTGCAGAGCACAAATTAACCACATTCCTGGGAAACGAACGGCCAACCACCTTGCCATGATGCAGAATGCTCGGAGGCATCCACAGTCTGCAATCGCACCTGATGGTCCTGCAAGTGGATGTTTAAAGCAAGCAGGTCAACGGTGAAAATATTATCGGGACTAAAGGGATGCTTCGATCTGCAATCGTTTGAATCGTTCAAAGTGGTTTACGTCACTTAACTGAGCAAGGGCCAGTGCGCACTTCCATTCACAGCACGAAGCCCGTGATAAGAATTTCACATTCTCATGCCAGGGCCCAGGCACACCCAAAAGACAACCACCATTGACTTCCCGTGAAGTGGTTCTTATTTAATCTATCCCCGAGGGATGAATGGCTCTGACCGGGATTTGAACTTGCTTCCGATTGCGGATTGCACGCTCTGGCTGCAGCGCTTCCTGGCTGCTCGTGCATTATTAACCGTGACAAATAATAGGTTCGGATAGCACGTCACACACGTTGCTAGACCCCACTAGGCAAGCGTCGGCTTCGCTTCCGACGAAATCCCGGCGCTTGCGTGCCCATTTGTCAAGCGGTTCGAGAGCACGGAATAAAGTTAACGCAGCCGTATGACGGTACATCGGCACACCCATTGCCCTGCTCTTGGGAAACGGGCTGAGCACAGCGAGTCTTGTCTGCTGCTGCTGCTGCATCGTGTACATGTTCAGAAGAGGTTGTGACCTGGGCTAGATTCCGTCTTGAGTCGTCACTCATCATTCTGCCGACAGAGACGAGCGTTGGCTGACACTTGACAGGACTGCTGCAGGTATGAATACATTAAACAATATTGCGTGCATGTGGGCTAGGGACAAAAATCAAGGATTGAAAGAAACAAACCGTTCAGTGTTGATTGAGGAACTGCTTATAATAAAAATAAACGCAGCTCCATTGTCAGGTCAGGTTGTAATACATTTAGAAGGTAATTTGAATCTTTCACACGATTTTGGATCAAAGAAATGTAAAAATAGGTCCTTACCTATGCCGGTTAATAAGTATAAAATTGTAACTTACAAAAGACTCATCATTTTTTAGATTCACCTTTTGTCACGATTGTGTCAATTAATCTTAAGGTGCTTCGTATTTTGATATCACTTAGAATTTCCTAAGAACAGCACATTATGTGTCTTTCCAATTCAATTCATCGCAAGGCCTCGATCACTCGTTTATAGTTATTTATGCATTTATGGTTTACCTGCAGTGAACCATAAGTTAAATTTGGTGTTTAATTTGCATATTGAATGTGCTATGTAAAAAAAGATTAGAACAAATGAATTACATTATTGTTACGATACGCAAGATATTGTACGTTCTACCGCTGTGACATTACCATGACATTGAAAATCATATTTAAAGGGCTTACAATTGATCCAGTGTTCCATGAATAGTATTTAATCATGAGCAGAATTGTGAACTAAAAAGCAGCAAACTAAAATGTCATTTAAATGGCATGCATACATTGAGTCGTCTTTAAAACAGGAATTGTAGCCGTTTAATCGTCATGAAGTGTCTTCAGAAAGCCTGAAAAACCAATTGGAGCTAATGTGTTTGTTTCTCAATAACTTTACAGTTCGGGATTTTTCTCCCGCTATTCCCCAAGGCCGATCGGAGGGCTGCCATTCGCCCTGAATAAAATTATGCACCTTTCCACCCAAAATAACTAAAAGCTTCCCACTCACTGTGAAACAGCCTACAGCTATCACACGGTGTTACCACCACCACCACCACCACCCTGTCTATATATGCCCCTTCCAAATTACAACTCCCCATTTTCTCACCCACCACTCACATTAAGGGGCTTAGTTCCCAAGCCCCGCGACTTACACGCCTCCACCTTCAGCCTTGAGCGGACGCGTGGAACTAGACGCGGGAATAGACGAGGCAGATTGATGTGGAAACCAGGAGTGTGTGCTGGGGAGTTAGAGAAGAAATTAATTAAGGGATGTGTAGCTCCCAATATCACCTTTCTGTGCAACCAATACCCCCCCCTCCCACCCCGCTGCCCCTCCCGCCCCCTTCCCCCCGGGTTCAGAGCTTGTTGTCAGACTGCGGGGCTTCGTTGAGCTCGGGGAGGACGGAGCGGATCTCCACATGACACGGAGAAGAGTCCGGGCTGCCCATGCACACCCTCTCCACCTCCACTGCGCCCGCCACTGCACAACGCACACACACACACAGGTACACACAAGCTCGAGCACACGTACAAATGCACGCACCCTATGTCTGTGGTCTAACAGAGTCGTCTGGGTGAGAGCAGTATAACACGAGCTGGGCATTGTTCTGCGAGCATACGGGCGCCACCAACGCGCACGCCCGCAAGGCCGCTCCTGTAGATGACTCACGGGCGCGGGCGTAAGGCTCCGGGGACTCCACGGGGGGCAGCGGGGACGGCGGCTCGCTGCAGGGCGCCGGCGGTGACAACAGCGGCGACGACGGCGGCGGCGGCTGCTGCGACGACGACGACGACGGGGGCGGCGGGCTGACGGGCGACTGCGGCTGCTCGTAGGGTGGGGAGCTCTGCGCCGAGCTGCTCTCGGACACGAACGCCTGGTTCGTGTGGGCGTTGGGGTCGGCCGTGCCCAGGATGCCGTCGGCCACCCGCCCGTGGCTGCCCGTGCCCCCGCTGGCCCCGACCCCCAGCTCTTCCTCGCCGCCGCACTCCTCCTCGTTAACCTGCGGTGGGAATGGTGGCGCGTGCGCGCGCTCTTTAAGCGCAGGTCGTCGCAAGCACACATCGCCGAGCTCGTAGAGACTGCCCGGGCTGTGTCTGCATGATAGATATGCATCTACAGTAATTTCTGCTACGGTCAGTTTTTTTATAATTAATTTACAGATTTGATTGCCCGACGTTTAAAGTAGGGTCCGAGTTCAAAGTAGATTTGCCGCAACGTCGTCGTTTGAGACATCATATCAGTTTTCGGGATCTGACGATTATTGCAAAGCAGTGTTTCCCATAAATATGCAAATGCGTTTCACATTTTCATTGCAAGCAATTACGACGTTTCACACTCGCTGAAACGAATGTGTTACCTTGGCAAAGTGAGGGCAACTGCAGCCAATGCATTCTGCTGTCCTTTCTCTATGCATGAAGAAAACTTTAAAGCTCTTCAAATGCACACATCGTTCAATATAAGCCATGCCATAAGCCTTCTAATAATTGTCACTTTATAATCTTTTAACGCTTAGACATCACATGCTGTCAGTTACGCATGAAATAATAACATTTACTAAAATAGTCTCGGCTTATTCGGAATTGTGATGGAATACTTGCATGTTTAACGGACGAGAGATATTTATTTAGAACTTCATCTACTTACTGTGTTTGTTATCTTATAACATTTTTGCCAGGAAGTATATTCGTACCCAAAAATACATCGATGACAGAGTGATATTTTAGAAAATGGACGAGACGATTATCCCGGACCTTAAATCGCACAATTTATTGTGGTATCGCCACATCGAGCCAACCCGAGTTTAAAGAGTTGAAAAGAGGGGGGGGGGGGGTAAAAACCCCCATTAAAGTTCGGGTCAAGCGTGCCACCATAACGTGCACCCGAGTGACATCACTGCACTGGGAGCGACTTGAATAGCGTGACACAACGAGGCGCTGCGAATTCAAATCCCGGTCGACTTAGCCCATCATCCCTCAGAGGTGTGCGGCTACTACAGGTGGCGCACACAAGCGGATGTGCGGCATGCCTCGTTGGCTGCGGTCGGAGTCGCTTCGTCAAGGTGACGCTGCGTGCTCGCCGAGTGCGGCGTGTTGTCGTCGCATTGATGGAGTGGACGAACGTGTGACGGGCACGGGGACTGCACCCTGCATCGCCAGGTGGCAGTGCGAGCCGGCAGCCAGCGCCTGGCACCGCTGCCGCAAGCGAGTGATACCGTGCGTGCGTGCGTGCTTGCTTGCGTGTGCGATGGTTCGGATGCTGCGCTATGAACCCAACGACCCGAGTTCCATTCCCGCTCATGGTCAATGCCAGTGACAATTTTCTGAATAGGTCCTGGGCCTCCCCTCGGTCAACTCAGCCTCAAATGAGTACCTAGTGTGATGTGTAAACATCGCCACAAAGGCGGCCCGGCATGGCGCTGACCACCCACCCCCTCGTATGCTGTGCCAGCCTTTATAGGTGCTTGCTAACAGGACTTGCCTCAACAGTCTGGAAAGGCTATACGGGGGGGGGGGGGGGGCATCTGGCGTAGTCGCGTGACCTCCTGTCAGCCAGCCTTCGACACTTCACGAGGCCTCATAACGTGCACCGAACCTGGCACAAGCCCTGTTGTGATGTCACCGCCACTCTGTGGCAGCTGTGGTTGTTGTTGTTGTGTGCGCGTGTTTGTGGCCTCTGAAGCCATAACAACCAGACTGTCCCCCATGACCTCCGGCCAGTGAGCCTTCACCACTCCAGAGCCTCAAAGTGCACCTAGCCTGGTACAGGTGCCACTGCAATCTCACGTGTGATCATTAACCCCAAAGGCACAAAACACTACAAAATGTACGTAACGGTTGTGCAATTTGCACCAACAAAAAATTACCCCAAGTGGCATCTGAATATATGGCACTGCGCGGCAGAGTGCCCGACCCACAATTGGAGATCATGGGTTCAAATCCAGGCCTGGGGGATGACTAAACCCATAATCCTTCATCCGTGGTTAATTAAATGAACACCATTTTACGGGCAATTAACAACAGTCATCCTTTGGATAGACTGGGTCCCTTGCAAGAGAATGTGGAAACTGAAACAATCGACTCCGGGCTTGCAATGGACAGGAGCATCTCGCCAATGCTTGTTTAAGAAGTTTCACTTTAAGCATCAACGTGTGTGCATGCGCACCGCCACACACCGTGCATTTCGCGGAGCTTATTTGACCATCCTTCACCATGCTGGTTAGTGTAGGTTGAAGGCAGGAGAGCATAGATGTGATAGCATAGAAGTACAGTACAAAAATTATTTGCGCCACATTTGCCTCTGCTTCTGACCGTGTCGCCCCGCAACCTATAACACCTGCTATGCATGGGAGTCACTCATTTGAGCACGACATGGGCTTAAGCTTTCGAGATCTGATAAGACTGGTTGCATTCCGGTTGATTTGTCAGGCGGAATAACCAAACAGTAGAGAGGAATCACCATCTGGACAAGCAGCACTCACCACCCCGTGCTCTACGATTGCTGAGCAACCAATTACGTATACCATCTATTAAATGAATAACTTCATGCACATAAATCAATGGTGCGATTCATTACAAGCCCCTCTCGAATCCCTAATTTCCCCAATCAAAGCTGTATCTCTAGGAAAGTGATTAATCAAAAACCTTCGTTCCAACGCCGTGAACCCCGGGGTCTCTTCCAATGTCCCAAAACGCACAACGACGGTTATTCGGGGCGTGGGCATCAAAAGCACAAAAAAACGTTTCCACCAACCGCGGAGATTAGGTGGTAGGGATCGCTCTTCCCCAAAGCCTCTGCTTGAGCGCTGGAACTGCGGCTCGGATAAACGCGACGTGCGCAAGTGCGTAGCGAGCGTGCAAACAAACAAACAGCCGACGCATTCATCCCGACGTTTTTCGCTGAGCGACACCGGGCACGGGGAAACTCGGTCGCCACGGCGGCTCGCCACGGCGGGGGAGCAGCATGCTTGTTTGTGGCGGCCCACGTCACCACGTTTAATGCCACCCCCCCCCCCCTTTTGTTCGTTCCACGATTGGCAAAAATGAATGCAATTGCGTGCCACATTCATTTCACGGACGTCCACGTGCCCAGCGCGTTGTCTAATGGCGAGCCGCGGACGGCAATACGATTGTAAATGGCCATTAGCCATTAATTTGGTGTGAATTGCACGCTGTTGCTGCCAAAAGCTTTTGCCGCAATTATACGAGGTAAGCATCTTTCCCGAGCGAAGTGCGATTCCCAAGGGACAAGAGACAATGCTGACCTCATGCACGCGTGTGTGCGCGCGCGCGCACACACGCACAAACACACGCACGGGTGCACACGCACACGCGTGCACACACGCATGGGTGCACACGCACGCACACAGTTTTGGTACAATGCAGCATTTAGAGAACCCTTCCTACATCGCTGTGTTGCATTTCACCAGTCTAACGCTCACTATTAATATCAAAATCAAACACATGAATTATTCATGTACACAATTAGAATTGCGCTGTGTAATAAAAACCCAGGTACTGGTGCGCCACTGGGAAAGTTCTTATTAAATGACCCTTTCAAAACTAATTTGTGGGTTTCTTTTTTATATCAATGCATTCAAAGCATTTTGTTCTCGTAAAAAATGGTGTTAAGAGTTGTATGTCAATGACTTAGGCCAATTATATTTTTACACATTTGGTTTTGAAGATATTTATTCTGGACAGAATTGCTGAAAAACAAGCATCGTTTATTTCAGGACTTGCCCCCTTTGGACAGAAAATGTTCCAGGTAGAGTGGTAACTGACAAGTCCAGAGATTTTATTGATTTGTTGAGGGATTTCACCAAGACCCGCGGGGTTCTACCTTAGCAACAAACGCCGCTGGATTATCCCAAGCCACCAGTTTTGCTTCTCAGCAACAGTGTTTAATGAAACCACATGTTCTGGTGGCACGAATGTTAGGCTAACAGATAATGTGAAAATGTCTCCCTGCTCTAATGAGCATGGGGCATTACTCAATTCCACTGGCAGCCATAAGCCAATGGCGAATATTCTACATTATCCCTCCGACGTGTTAAGGGTTGTGCCGCAGAAACACATCATATTCTACAATCCCTCCACAGGGCTCTTCAGCAAGTGGCACTCAATTGATTGCAGCAGGATGCAGAGAGGGGGGGGGGGGTCAGGTTAACCCTCGACAGGGATTTGAACTCGCAGCCTTCCGATCAGTGGCTATAGAATGTCTGGCGTGGGATCAGGTGCAACGAATGAAACACAAGCCTCCCCCCCCCCTCCCCCCTTTTGCAATTCCCACCCATCTTCATAGCCCCGCAACCCTCCAGCCCCGTGGTAATGAAGATGGCAGTTGCACCGCCGGCACACTCGACAGCTGCACCGGCATTCCGATTGCGAGCCGAGGGCTCCTGACCGCTGCGCCGCTGGACACGACCGTCGGGAATAATTCCCTCTTCGCGATCACCACGGTGGCTTTTTCTCCAACAAGCCAGTTTTATTTGTTTTTTATTCTTCTTTTCCTTTCTTTCCCTCGGGAGCCCCCACACCCCCCCCTGACATTCAAACACAAAGCCGGGGTCTTACTCGCCGGAGAAAAGCGGAGATCAGATTCCAAGGGAGCGGCGGTGGCTGCCGGCGCTTGCACTTGCGCCTGCGAGCACTGGCTGCTGCTCTGTGCGCTTCGACGACTATGCGCCGCCTTTTGATCAGCGCCGCCTGACTGATGAGCCGCCCTCGCACACTGGCAGCCATTCCCTGGGCACCCACACCTGCTCATTGCCCGTGGGCTACTGTAACGGTGAATGCTAATTAGTTAAAGGGCATTTTCCCCACAGAGCACTGAAGCATACGGAAACTCGTAATGCATTAATCAATAGAGCGCGTGCGCGCTTGTATGCAGGAGGCACCGAAATACAATGTGGGTGGCAGGTCAAGCGGTGACGAGGTTCTAATAAATGCAATGGATCACTGTTGACATTCGGTGCTGGCCAGAATTCGTACCTGCAAAAAA